TTTTTAGTCGCATCAGTCTTCATTTTTAGTCGTATCAGTCGACATCATTTCTCTATCGTTCACATGCATTCTCTTTTTCTCGTTTCTCCAAATATGTACTTCGAAAATCCTAATATATCCAACAGCGCCAACAACCATCTGATCATGCAATTGATCCAAGGTCAGCAACAAATGATGCAAGCGCTCATGGCAGCACTACCACAGTTAAATGCAAATCCACTACCGCCACCACCTCAAGGGAACGCAATGCCACCGCAACAACAGCAGGCAGCGCAACAGCCTGTGGCGCCACAACCGCAGCCACCGCAGCCACCGCAGCCACCGCAACAACAACCTGTGGCACCACAACAGCCAGCGGCGCAACAACAACAACCTCATGCGGCGCAGCAACAGCCGGCAGCGATGGCACCACCAGTGGTGCAACAACCAGGACCAGTGCAAAACCCTTTGCCTCCACCGAATGAAGACGGCCTTGATGCCTATCCCCGTGGCATAATACCACTGGACCTCAAGAACAAACTCGAACTAGGCCTCTACAACCAGGCAAAGCAACCACTTTCAAACAAGTTCGATGGCACAGACCTGTCCCGCTTGATCAAGAACATACAAGGCCGCTGTACCCTCATGCACTGCCTTCCTATTTTTGACGTTACTGAAAATGCAATGACCCAAAATTTGCTGTCAAAATACGGCGAGATTTCCCTTGTTGCAACGCAAGCCGCTGCAACAAGCCGATGGAGGACGAACACCTATTTCCGCCAGGCGAGTTACGCCCTAGGGATGTGTCTTCTGGATTCTGTATCAAACGAATTCAAGCAGCGTCTGGAACAACGTGAAGACGATTATGTTCAGATTAGGGGCCGTTGCGACGGACCCAAGATTTTCAAGATCATCTGCAATCTGACCTCTCCATCCAATCGGAGGACGATTCAATTCCTAATTAACGACCTACAAACTTTGTCCCCGATCGAGCATGGCAACAGCATCATCCTTTTTAATCAACGTTTCAACGAAATTAAGGCCAAGACCCAAGCTATGGGAGGCTCCTCTAGCTTAAACGAAGTCATGACCTACAACGCCCTTGCGCAAGGATACAATCAAGTTGATCAAGACGAATTCAGGGCCTTTATGTCAATCAAGAACAACATGCCCGAAATACCGCACGAAGACCTCATGAAGGAAGGAGAGACCAAGTACAACAATCTTGTCTCAGAGGGTCTCTGGCACCTCCCCTCACAGAAACAACAGATCATGTCCCTTTTGGCTAGCCAGGCAAAGGACAAGAGGGAGATTATTAAGGACTACACCGCAAAAATCCAAAAATTTGGGAGCAAGCGATAGCAGCCTCCAACCGACCCCAAACAAAGCAAGAAGCCTAAAACCGATGGCCGCAAGGACAAAGACAATGGGGACTTTGACACCTGGCTTGTTACCCCTCCAAAAGCCGGCGATGAGGACAAGATCATCAAGAAAGCCAACAAAAGCGGGTCCATGAGGGAATGGAATTGGTGTAAGCATCACAAGAAGATGGTACTTGCGGTATCACGCGACGGTAGAAAGCACAACTCCAAGACATGCAGCGGAGTTGGAACTCCCATAAGAAAGCCTAACACCAAAGAACAGAAAAGATTGAAAGTGAAAGCCCTTGAGACGCAAATCTCAGCACTGACGGCCGAGATCACCACCACAAGCGACTCAGACGACGGGTCCGACAACAAAAGCAGGACAGACAATGGATTTTTTGCCTTGGAGGACGAAGGTTTCGATTGACGGCAAGGCAAGCAGATAATCGACTTGAGTTCAGTAGAAGATATAAAAACAGAACTTCATCTTAAAAGCTATCAAGCCCACATCTGCAGAGCCATGAACGCGACTTTCGAACACGACTCAATTCCAGTTGGGGTCGACAGCTGCACATCCTCCACAGTCGGTGGCATAAGGCATCTTTTCGTTGGGAAATTGACTCCAGTGAAGGGTATGAAATTGGAAGGAGCCTCTGGCTCCATCCCAATCGTTGCAAAAGGAACTCTGCAATTGGTTTTCGCGGACGACAATGGGCACACGCATCAGCACCTGATACACGATGCCTACTATGCTCCACGTCTGAAGCTGACTTTACTGAGTGCACGCCAATGGTCAAAGCAAGGTCCAACTAAAAGAAAGGGAATGGAACCAATCCAAAACTTCAATGTGTGTGGTGACACTGTGGAACTACGTTTTGAGAACAACTGCGTCCGAACTGTCCCATTTGACAGCGACACAAACCTACCGCTCCTGATGACAAAGCCAGGCTACTCTTCCTTCTCTTCACACCTCAAATCTCAGCACATTACGGCACAAGAAACACGAATCCGACCAACAGCTTTGACCTTCCAAGATCTGCACCCCCCTGACGGAACACACCCCAATCCTCCATCAGCACGACAATGTCAAGATTGCGACCCCAAGGAAAAAGATCCTTTCGACCTGCATGGTACTACAGCACCAAGCCTTGCCAAGACCTTTGTCGATAACTTTGAAGAGCCACCAGCAGTCCTTGAAGATTTCAATTTTGAATCCCTCCTCACTGGTGAATGGGATGATACAGCGCCAGAAGCAACTCTACCATCGCTAAATGAGACGGATAAGAAGACTCTCTTGCTCCGATGGCACTACCGCCTCGGCCACATGCCTTTCAAGCACCTCAAAGCCAGTGCCAAAGAAGGCCTCATCGATTGTCGGCTTGCAACCATCAAAGAATTCCCATTCTGCCCCGGTTGCCAATTTGGAAAAGCAACCCGACGACAATGGCGACATCGCTCCAAGAAGAAAGATGGCAGTCGCAAGACTCCACATCAAGCAACCAAGCCTGGATCGGTCGTGTTGGTCGACACCATGAGCTCCACTAGCGTCCCAGGTCTGATGCCCCAACTTCGCGGACACCCTACTCTAGCACGATTTCATTATGCTACAGTCTTTGTTGATCACTACAGTGACCTGGACTACGTACACCTTCACCAATACAACGATGCCAACTCAATTCTTGAAGCCAAACTTGCGTTTGAACGTCATGCAAACAGTTACGGTGTGCGCATCCAACACTATCACTGCAACAACGGAGTTTTTGCTGATAATTCCTTCAAGGCAGCTTGCAAAGCTGCACACCAAACACACACCTTCTGCGGAGTCAATGCTCATCATCAAAACGGCAAAGCCGAGAAGCGTATCCGTGACCTTCGTGACTCCGCTCGCTCCATGCTTCTTCTGGCAAAGCACAACTGGCCAGCGGCCATCACTGCTCATCTTTGGGGTTTTGCTATGGTTTACGCTTCCCAAATCCGCAATTCCACTCTTCGAGAGGGAGAACACAGGACAGCCCTTCAAAAATTTGTCGATTCTGATGATAAACCAAACGTCAACGTCTTCCATACTTTTGGTTGTCCCATCTACAATCTGGATCCAAAAACTACAGAGTGGAAGCTCCTTGGAAAACAAATGGTGTGATAGGGCGCGAATTGGCATTTTCCTTGGCCTCTCGCGCGAACACGCAAATTCGGTATCGCTTGTTCTAAACCCTGGGATATCCCGCAGTTTTCTGTGAAGCCAGCTTTCTCTTTTTTTTGGACAGTCGATGTGGTCATTTTCACCCTCTTCTGCACGAAACTTCAAAAATCGACTTTCACTTATTGCCAGAAAGAAACTTCTACGACAAGGAATTTTATAAATGTTCACAATGCCGTTAAGTATTCAACTTCATTCGCCAGATTAAATTTTAAAGTTTGTTTTATTTTTACAGCAATTGCGGAACATCTGTAATGACCCCAAAAAAACCTGTAAATTTTTCACAGAAGTTTCGGAACATCTGTGAAAAATTCACAGAGATTTCGGAACATCTGTGAAAAATTCACAGAATTTTTGACCCAGACGACCAAGCATTGCTTGCGCACACCATTAACCGTTTTTTCCTCTACCGAAATTGTATGGTGCTTTTACGAAAGGGCATGCGTGCACGCATGTCAGCTGAACCTCTGTTGAAACTTCACGGCAATTTCGGAACATCTGTGAAGACCCTTAAAAAACCTGTGAAAAATTCACAGAGATTTCGGAACATCTGTTGGTCATTCACAGAGATTTCGGAACATCTGTGAAAAATTCACAGAATTTTTGACTCACAGGACAAAAACAATGGTCAATTAGGGGAACTGTCTGTAATTTAACGAACTACGACCAAAACGCGACGATCACCACGAGCAGTGATGATGTCGGATCACAGATCCCCGTGCAGAAGGAGTGAGCAAGCCGGTCAGGCCCCGATTCCAGTTCAGATTCACACCAAAATGCGGAATATCCCTGACACAGGATTAACCTCACCTCAATTTCATGTGACGCACGACGAACGTTTCGAGACGACAGACATCCCAGCAATGAAGAATATTGGACGGTGGCAAGGTTTGACTCGAATTCATGAGAAGAGATCCACAAAGAAGCCCAAAGCAAACAAAAGAAGAAAAAATATCTCACACTCAGGTGCCAGAGTCAAGTGGTACCGAAACTCCAACGTCAGAGCCGATTGACGAGAGAGGACACCTCCAAGCAAAGCGCCACGAGCTCTCGACTCCAACATCAGAGACCATTGATGAGAGAGGACACCTGAAAGCACAAAGCCGACAGCTCTCGATAACTGAGCGTAACGGTCAAGATAGACTAGCTCAAACTGGCGGAATGGGGAACCCGAGGGACACCAGCAGAAACGTGCTGCCTCAGAGGGAGAACGGAAAGCCATCCCCGAGGGACACCAGTTTACTGCCTCAGAGGGAGAATCGGAGGGACAACGGCAAAGACTTGCTGCCTCAGAGGGAGAGCCACAGGGACACCAGCAGCCTGCTGCCTAAACTCTCCCACCAGACCCAAAGTCGAGAAATGAGGGAGAACCGGAGGACCACCAGCTCAAATTCACTGCCTCCATCCTCCCGAAAGGCTGAAGGTCAAACCCAAGGTCGAGAAATGAGGGAGAGTCAACGGGACACCAGCCAAAATTTGCTGCCACAACTCTCCCGAAAGGCCGAAGGTCCAACAGCACCGTTACTTGATAGCGGAACTTTCAAACATCCAGCTCTTCAGAGGGAGGACAATGTGGGAACCTGTACAATCCAAACACTGAAGACCCACAAATCTCTCTCTCAAAAGCGCAAGCGAGGGAGAGATGACAGGGAAGAAAACACAGCAAGTACCCTCGACCAAAAGCGTCTTGAATTTGAATTAACTTTGCGTTCTTACAGGACAGTAATTGCAAGGGAAGTCCATGCAGAAGAACTAGTGGACAAATGCATCACTGCCAATCCAATGGCTTTTGCAGCGACGTTAGCAGATGAGGATACGATGTACCTGCACCAAGCGAAGAAAGAAAAAGATTGGATTCACTTCCACACCGCAATGGTCAAAGAGATTGAAGATCATACAAAAGGAGGTCATTGGGAGATAGTTCCACGAAAATCTATGCCACAAGGGCACAAAGCGATGCGAGGTGTTTGGTCAATGAAACGAAAACGCCGTGTTGGAACTGGCGAAATTTACAAATGGAAGGCACGACTATGCATTGATGGGAGTTCACAAGAAAAAGGCGTGAATTACTGGGATACGTATTCACCAGTTGTTGCATGGGAAACGATTCGCAGCCTACTGACACTCGCCCTAATGAATGGTTGGACAACGCGACAAATCGACTTTGTCCTTGCATTCCCACAAGCCGAAGTTGAGTGCCCAATGTACATGGAAATTCCGCGAGAATGCTATGTGGACGGGTCAGAATACAACGAACAAAATGTTCTTTTATTAAAGAAGAACCTTTACGGGGCCAAGCAGGCAGGCAAGGTATGGTTCGATTTTCTCCGCAAGGGGCTGAAGGACATTGGTTTCAAACAATCGAAGGTCGACAAAGCAGTCTTCTATAAGGGCGAGACAATTTTTATCGTTTATGTGGACGATGCAATTTTGATGGGTCCAAACGGACGTGAAATTAATGACGTCATCAAACGGCTCGGACAAAAGTACAAATTAAGGGACGAAGGCGATTTGAACGAATATCTTGGAATCAAGATGACCAAGACGAGCGAAGGTCGAGAATTGACCCAACCCGCCTTGATCCAACGCATTCTTGAAACGGTAAACATCGACCTGGACCGCAGAGCACGACGAGAAGTCAGAACACCAGCAAACAAAGTTTTACACAAAGATGAAGGTGGGCTGACGCGTCAACTTCATTGGGACTATCGTTCTGTAATTGGAATGCTAAATTGGCTGGCAAGATCGACGCGACCTGAATTGATCTTTGCGGTTTCTCAAGTAGGACGATTCATGGCCTTTTCCAAGAGATCCCACAAGGACGCCGTAATGAGAATCTGCTGTTACCTTCGCGACACACGCGACAAGGGTATGTTCATGAAGCCAAGATCTGAAAAGGGCTTTGAAGTATATGCGGACGCAGATTTTGCGGGCGGCTTCAACAAACACAGCGCCGAAGACCCAGCAACCGCAAAATCGCGAACAGCGTACCATATCATGTTTAACAATTGCTTGATCTATTCCCATTCCAAGATGCAAACAGAGATCGCTTTAAGCACCATGGAGGCCGAATACATCTGTCTTTCCCAGGCACTGCGAACTGTGCTCGTTTTAATCCGATTTTTCAAAGAACTCGCAAAAAGAATCAAATCTTTCAACTATACCAAACCGATTTTCAAATGTAAAGCTTTCGAGGACAACAATGGAGCAATCGAACTCGCGACAGCCGACAAACTTCGCCCACGCACCAAACACATGAATATCAAGTATCATCACTTCAAGAAATCGGTCCGCAAAGGGGAAGTTTCCATTCAGAAAATCGACACAAAAGATCAATTGGCCGATATCTGAACAAAACCACTCGACGCCGCCACTTTTGTTGCTCTCCGCTATCTCCTTATCGGTTGGTAATGTTTTGGTCATTACTTCCTTTCCCAAGAGGGAGTGTTGGAATATTCGGACCCAGAGTCTGTACGCCGACCTAAACGAAGATGGGAGAATGAATAATGACCTCAAGAAATGACGTCAAGAGAAGAGATCTCTTGACATCACAACTCATCAACTATATCTCTCTATATAACTTAACTACATAATCATATCGATCCTACCTGAAATCCATTAGATTCACACAGTTTTGAGCAGCAGTATTGGTGCTAGCAATAGCAGCATACGCTTTCGTCTTGACTACAAAACTTTGGAACCAGGCCACGCCATATAGATCTTGCAGGACTTCAGCCTGTCTCAAGAATCGTTCCTTGAAATGCATCAAGTTTTCCGTTGTTCCTTGCTTCATAGCAAAGAACTTTTGATTCGCTTCCCAGAAATCCAAGAAATCATACTCAGCATCAGCACTCTTCTTCATGAATCGTTCAATACGTTTCAAGAGTTTGATCAGATCTTCAAGAGTAGTCGTGAAATCGGCTTCACCTCCAAGCTTGATATCCAACACCTTTGTCACAAACTTCAGCATGATGTTTGATTTGACGGTTCTCTTGTTTGTCTCGAAGTAGGCTGATCTTTGCATGTTCTTGTCGAGCTTTGCAGAATAGAGAATCTTGTTTTGGGCCATCTCTGTTTCTCTTGCAACAGCTTCAGTTTGAGTTGGAGCGTTCAATCTTGGAGCGATTGCATTGAAGTCAATCGACTTTCCATCTCAAATTGATTTCATCATGTCTTCGGAACATTTCATTCCAGAAGCTTGGATATAGTCAATCACTCTTTCTCCGGCATCTTTGTATGACAATCTTGCCTTTCCATTGTTTTCATCTTAGATGTTTCACAACTGTTGAACTTGAGTTGCTCTTGACTTTCTGAGGAGTCACACGTCCTCTTCCACCACCGAATGAAGAACGTCCCATCGTCAACAAATCACTCACTCCTTTGTAGATAAGGCAGTGCTGTTCTTGACGTAAATTTGTTTTGTTGCCTTGTGTGATTGAATGTTAGAATAAAGCAAAATGTGCTCTATCGTGAGTGCCTTTAGCGCTCAGAACAAACTCTCTGCAATCTAAATTTGTAATCGACTGTACAACACTTTCACAACAATAGTTCTCCTGTGTCTAGGTATACTTTGAGTGATCCTATTTGATTAATATTTGGCTTGAATTGATGATTCAATCACAAAAGTAAGTTCAATAATTTTCCCTTGGAAAATCCCTTGTTTACAGAACTTGATTAGACCTCTACGACAATTCTGTGTTGAATGCAGTACATCAGAAAAGAAAATCAGACTTTTGTTAGAATAAAGCAAAATGTGCTCTATTGTGAGTGCCTTTAGCGCTCAGAACAAACTCTCTGCAATCTAAATTTGTAATTGACTGTACACCACTTTCACGACAATAGTTCTCCTGTGTCTAGGTATACTTTGAGTGAGGTGCTGAGTGATAGCGAGTCGTCCGGTGACGACGATGATGATGATGGCCCCCCAACCTTTGAGTGGACCACTATCATCAAAAAGTCTTTGGTTGCCTCCACTCCAAAGCCTGTGGAGGAGACAAAAACCTCGCTCCTCACTGCACCCAAGTCTCCCAAGGACGACGATGCCTGGATCGACAAGCTAGCACAGATGGACCTCACCAACGACAGTCCAAGCCCTCTGTTTGTCATGATCTTACCAGCCGAGGAAGATGGATGCTATTTTGTGGTGGTTCGCCAGCG